TTTTCTCCTCGGGGTTGCGATGTCAATTGTCCTAGTCCGTCATAGCAGAATTCATGGTAATTTATTTTCTGAGGGGGTCTTTCACCGCCGGTCTTCTAGTGGATTATATGATCGAGGGATCATTCGTTCTCGCGCTTTCTCGGGCGCGTGTCTGATATTCTTTATTCCTCGAGGTTCACGGTTTTCGGGTCACCATTCCTGCACTCCAATTAAGACACCGGATTGTATGATACGGTCAATCCTCCTGGGTTCTCGCATTATGAACAACGAAAGTCTCGCTCAGCGCGGGATGAAGGCTTCTTCGGTTGTTTGTGCCCTTGTCAATCCCCTGCCGACTTCGTTCGTAATGGCCATCTGGCAGGTTATTTCGGGTGTTTCCACTGATAAACTCAAGAAGAGGCTTCTCGTGGAATCCAGGTTTCTAGACCATCATATCGCCATTTGTATACTCCAAGCAACAAAATTCTGGTCGATGTCAAGGTAGAGGGGTATATCTGATTTCTCGTGTACGGTGGCGCGTGTCTGATATTCTTTCCCGCTTCTCGTTCTCCTTCCAGGTAGAGATAACACGCCTACAAGAACAAGAGTCGGAGCTTGATCTCTCTTAGTAAATGAATGGATCACGAAATCGTGAAATTCGCGCACATGATTCTACGCCCTTATCTTGCATCCTCCTAAATTCTCGCATCAAGTGCGGGAATCGTAGTAAATCGGTATGATCGTCGCAAGTCCTGTCTACGCATGTCCGTGTCTCTGTCCGCTTCAAACACCTCCGGACTACGAACATCAAAAGTAATGCTTCTATGCGTTTGATGAAAGGCAGGTGTCGAGCCGCTTACTCGTGTGTTGGTCGGAGTTGACATTTGCGGACATTGCAGATTCATTGGAATCGTTTTACCAAAGACGTTTCAAGAAAGGGAATAGTTTACCGTATTCATCTTATGAGTCATGACCTAACGGTCTCCGTGTTCTTTCCATGTGGGATGTAAGACGGGCGCATGGTTCATAAAATGAAATGAGTGAGGCATTGCAATCAGACTAGAATCTCTGCAAGTCATAACTCACAAGTCAAGTCGGTGTTGGAGTGGAAAGGTCTTCGTCAGCAGGTGAATCACCTGTTCGATCTGATGCTATGTAAGGATCCCTCGACACGAACCTTGTAATGGTCTAATGTTATCCCCGAACTTGCGACTACGGAGGGTAGAGGCGAATACAGATTCTTAGGAATCTATGTCTGTTTCAGGATGCTTGGAGCGGCAGTGTTACGGGAAAGAACCAAGAACTGGGTGTGTTTCATTAAATTCAAATGGGGAAGGTATCCAGAAGCGCCTTGGTACACGTACAAACAAGTCTTCTACGCAAGGCAGAGACTCTACCAAGGGATTGGGCGGATCAATAAGATTTCGATATCAAACTGTGATTTTTGGACATCTATAGCTTGGAAATCATATCCAGAGGCGACACTGGTCGACTGGGAAGTAAGCAGAGTACCGCATGGTAGAAGACGAGCGCATGTGAGCTTTGACATCAAGGAACGAACAAGGAGTTTTTCTCGCGTACCTTATCGTGACACCATAATTAAATTTTATGATCCGTCGTTGTTTTTTCGGACACCCGAAAGTGTGGTAGATATTGAGCCATAAACCGAGATCTAATGTGTCTGGAAAACAGAAAGACCATATTAGTAGGCTTGTGATTCTAGTGAGACTACTAGGCAGACCACGTCATGATAATGAAAGATTGAGATAAACTATCGGGCACCGAGTTAGTTCTTTCGGTGGAACATGCCCTCCTGAACTTCAAGCGAATCTAATTCCGGAAGTACACTGTCCTCGGACATTGGAAACGAAGCTGAATATGGCGCACGTTGGAGTGCCAGTCTCCCCTCTTCCTGATAACGGACAATGCTGATAGATGACTGTCATTGAGAAGCCAGTGGAAGGAGCTAGGCATCCAATTACAAGCTAGTACATACCTCCTTTATATTGTCAAATACTTCCTGTAAATGTCATGCCATTCGCGCTATTGACGTTCCAAGTTCGTTCACGTTGAGCAACAGTGACCTGCTTTGATATTGTCCCGTGAATCGAGTGCTATGAAGATCTATCATCTATGCTTCGAATATATCACCATATGACTAGCATGGAACCAGCCGAGATCTGAATCAGCCATATGGATCAAACACGCCAAATTATGTTCTGATTCGAATTGTCTCAACACGGTAAGCTTCGTGATGGCGTGGGTCTTTTGTAGGTGCGAAGAGCGCAAGGAGATGGTCTGAGGATAATGAAGCACTTTCGTTGGCAAGTATGTACAACCCTAGTGATGATTGATTAATAGCGCGTCAACTCGAGAAATGGGGCGTATTCGAGAGGGTGTATCAAGGGTGTATGCCCACGTATCTGCTCTTAACTGCTATTGCAGACCACGAGCAGTCGGTGCAAACGGCTAACCACTAATGATGAACGGAAAGAGAAAGGAGTTCCGGCATTTGCCGCGACTGATGCGAGCACTTGTTATCGAGGTACGTGTTCAATTCTCACTCGTACCACAATGCTGCAATAAAGGACTTTTCTATCGCATGAACGAAAGCTTGAAACAAACCATTTCTCAGCAATCTTTGGCCAATAGCACCCGAAGATCTAAGTATCGGCTAAAGGACTTTTGTACATCTTGTGTAACGAAACACGAAATGACAACCTGCCGCTGCCACTGATATGCATCCCCAATGAAAAGCAAGAATCAGAAGCTAACGTTTATGTAAATGGACCTCCTGTTGTTCACTGACCGAAATCTGCAGGTTTCGGTAGACAAATCCGTGCTCTCTTACTTGCAAACACATGTAAGACCACCTCAGGCTGCACTTTCAATTCGGTAGCCTTGCTGTGCAAGCAAGAAATCGCACTATTGGCCGAGGTAATGGCGAGAAGAGTAGAGCTAAACTTTGTTGCATTCGGTCGGGGGACAGTTGGTATTCGTTGAAGTCATTGAAAAGAGGCTAGAGGAATCATTCTGGGCACTTCGATCTTTTCGAAGAATCAACAGTTGCCGGCTCATTGTATATCAACACGCTGTCCAACAATTCTATGGTCTTCGTATCACTAGCATAATCTCGTCCATATCTACCATTCCCGTCACGATCGAAAACGCAGTGAACAACTCGGGCATGTGCTCCGAGTCAAATCTGATTTTGACACATTTCAGCTGCATCCACGGTGGCCCAACACAATCCCGATAGTGATGAACTTGGAACTCATTTTGCTCTGGAAGGGGAGAGTGTCGCTACCTTGAATTCTGGGGAGGAATGTCATCCATTTGGACCCTACAGAAGCTTCAGGAGGGCGGTATGGGTAGTATTTGCGTCGCTGCCCGTGAGATACTGGGCCATGACAATATGCATTGTGGTTGCTCTAGAAGGAGGATTAATCTGGGAATGAGGAGGTCTGAGTTGAATTGCGGTTTCGTTTTCCTGAGAGCAGTATGTGCCAGATATAAACCGAGAAATTGAGAGTGGGAATGTAAGATGATGATTCACGATGAATGAGCGCTCGAGTTGCGCTTGAGCGCCAAGTGCGCAATTTACGTTATTGAGAGATCGAGCCTGCCCTAAACAAAAACCGTTGCCATTGACCACCATCAGTCTTCAGATTCATAACGGCAAAGTACGTCCATGGAGATATTCTTGTTCCTTCCAGGTTAACTCACAACCATTTCTACAGCCTAAAAAATTCGACTGGGATCAGCAAAGTGACGTTGCCTATGAAAGCCTCATGAGCAGCCAAACGGCCTAGTAGCAAGAAAGGTATGCTGTCTTCCGAGCTTCAAGCCACTTTCTCAGACTTGATGCCGTGTCATTTCTGTTTAGGTCCACACAACTGGAAAACATCTGTCATATGCACCGCAAAGTGACCCATACTGGGGTCTATGGCTCTTACTAGCATCCGTCGTCTTGGGGACCGGAAACATCTGTTCTATTTGGCAAAATTGACTGTGAAAGAGAAGCAGAAAGTCAGGACTACGTTTTTTGGTGGGCGGGAAGCCATAGACATTGAGGGCTGGTCAGTGTTTCTGGTCTTGATCCGATACAGCTTGCAGACCTTGCTCTTGTAGACATGCAGCGCCCTAAACTCGCTTCAACTTGATTGTGCATTCCAACCACCACAACATTATCTTCACCAATCTTTGGAACGCCTCATCGCTTCCAACCTGCATGATATCAATCAATTGCAACATCTCTGCAGCGCTGTTCTTCCATGACACTGTATGTTCCCATCCCCACTCACCAAGTAGCCTACTGGACGCTCTGGGCCAGTGTCGAGAGCGGGATTGGCAAGCCCGCACTCTACCAACGGGCATGGTTCAGGTGAGCTCCTGTCCCCAGATCTCGATGTGTTCCGTGGCAATTACTCAACCTTTCATTAGATTAGTCGACAATGATGATTCCACAGTCTGCGTATTGGTGTATCCAGCCTACGTGTGTAGTCCCAAAATACTTCCTTGGTTTTGTTCTAACGCTTTCCAAGAGCATCCCTACGTTCCGAGCAAGCTTTTCCACATGCAAGACTGAACTAGGCGATGAATGGTCGTTAGTGCTAATACTAATGGTGCTTTAGCCTAGCCGGTCATGCGATGTTCAATCGAGGTGTTTGTGCCACCATCACCCCTCAGCGATTCAGTCTCCTCCGTTCTTTCTCAATACCCTTCACAACGCCACTTCGAACTATACACGAAGATACCCTTTTGGCCCACTCAGACATGTCCTTACGTTATCCACCTCTCGGATGAGGTGGCAGCTGTAGTTTCTTCGTTTCCCGGACGAATACTTCGTGACTATTAGGAACAGCTTTTGCCAAGTGCTATAGAATGGGATGTGGATTTTGGTGTCAAACAGCTGGGTGGAAGCCGAGTTATTGGGGACCTTCGACCACTCGTTTGGTTTACACCTGGTGTTCTATTTTACCTTTGACGATCAGGGTATGGCAAGCGCAGAAACCATTATCTGCCCCATGGCTGAGTTGGTTACAGCGTCCGACTGTTATTCACGCTAGTAAGACATCGGAAGGTCGTGAGTTCGAGCCTCACTGGGGCAGCATGCACATTTCTTTTACCCCACGTGCCCGCGGTTCCCATACTGTACATCATCACGCTTTTCCACTGCTTTATAATTACCACCACTCTTTCCGCGTTCACCCTCTTTCCTCGCCTACCATGGTCTCTCTCAGTCCTTGACAAGTCGTACCCGGAACATTTGGGAAAAGCCTTTCGCCGTTCGGTTTTTCATGCCCATCAAAGATAGAACGTCGAAGACTGAAACTCCATGCCAACGGCTCACCAGAGGCTCGCTTTTGCGTAGTTGTTGGGAAGCGATTAGACTCATAAGGACATATGATGCATAATCTAAAGTATGTGGTCAGTTCGCATCCCATTCCGATAATTCCTTCCTAATATGAAACAGGCAGCTGGGCCCAACGTACCCAATCTAAGAAACTAGGTTGTTCCATCCATTTGATTCCTCCGGAAGCAGAGAGATACATCGGAGCCTGAATAACATCTCAAAATCGTTACAATTCGACACAAGCGCATCGAAAACCATAGGGGAGGATCCCGTTTCGGAGAGAAAGCGATTGAGAAGGAATAGTCGGGGCTGCCGAAGGACTAGTACTATAGGTGCAGTTCAAGTTCTTTATCGCTTCTCATAGCTCATGATTATGCTCCCCAGGCGAAGAAGTTCCTCTTTAGCCGCGTTAATCATGTCAAGCACTATCCTAGTCAATATCAGCGCTCGAACCACCACCGCATTAGCTTAGATCGACAGTTAAGAACTCCGTTAGGTACCTAGGGCCCTCAAACTTAGTAGGATCCACTCATGGACCTTCACATCGATCCGCTTAAAGGAGCAAGTTTACACTGTTTCATTCTATCTCCGGAATCAAACAGTGGGAGTACAAGTCAGTCTATATGGAATGGAATAACTAGTCACTCCTAGAAGTACTCGCCTCTTACACACGTTCCGATGTCCGCTTAGCTTACTAAAACTCCTCCGGCGAGATAAAGACCCTGTGTCTAATGCTAGCCTTCCGATGGCCTATCTCGGTACACAACTTTCTCGCTGTGATACAAAAAGAGAGGTACGTATCTTTTTCATGCGCTCGCATTATCAAGGATCTGACAAGTCGACATAATCGACCTGCACCTTCAAACTCCAAGTTTACGTCTAAATGCCCATATTCGGTATCGCCTCCCTTCTCTCATTGCTGCACCTATAGCACTACAGCACGTACCCGTCGTTTTCTCTGGGATCACATCACCATATAGACCGCCACTCTAGAAAGCTGCTGTTCCTTCCCCATGAAGCAGCTGTTCTGAGGCGCCCTTCTACCGAAGATGATGGACAGAGCCACCACACATGCAAATCAGTTTGGGTACTTACTTCGCCACTTCATCTCCCGCGACGTGCTGTAATCCTGAAACATTTGACCCCGAAGGAGCTGTATCCTTTCATCATCTTTTTCGCTCCATTCCGAAGAGGTTCTTAGGATACTACTTGCTGTAGCAGTAAGTTCAAATCCTGTATTTTATGGAATGGCTATTCACCGATAACTCAATGTTGCTTCAGACGCCGGTGCCTTCTCTGGCCATGGAGCATGTGCCTTCTCCTTCGTGGACAGGCTAGGCATCTGTACGCGATCCTCCGGGAGCCCTGCCACTATTTCGACGATCTCGGATGTGCAACTCCCTGGTATAGGAATCTAGGGTATCTTCGACCTAGGGTTCAGCCTACTAGGTTCCAAAAAGTTTGGAAGAATCGAGTATTTGTTCCGGAAAATGGCTCACGTCCTACGCTGGGGCGTCTCACGAGCTTTGTCGATGACAACTTCACTTTCCGGAGCACTTCCCTCCTTCGAGTAACATAACCTTCCATGAAGGTACCCAAACATTCTCTGGTCGTATTTGACAAATGTCAGAGTCGGTCCGGTGGAGATCTCCTGCGATCTTAATCCGGTTGACTGGCCTCTCGATGCATCTGCAGGGTATGTGTCTCCATCTTCAATAAAAATACCTCCCTGGCTGTTGCCACATAATAGAGTTCGAGCCAGGCACGTCTTCCATACATATTTCGGTCAAGTTGCAAGAGCCTCGCCTATATGAGGCGTTCGACTCGGCCCTCTGGTACTGCTAAAAACACGCCGAAATGTCACACCTTACATGATGGTAATCGAGTGTTAGCAAGGTAAGAATATTATACCTTGGTATTCAGTAACTCCATCTCACGCCTCCATTGTGAAGACCTTGTTGCGCCGTAAGGGTACCAGGTTGTAGCATCCTTCACCTTCACTGTACTCATGACATTAGGGATATCGCTCATGGGTTACTTAGGCCTCGGGACCATGATTCCGGGATGACAGCTCCTTAACAACTGGCCGACTTGGAGGCTCGCTCAATATGCTGCTCCTGGTATTTGTTGATGATACTGTATCGCGCCTCCAAAAACGCGAATCAGCTGACAGCTTGGCGAGAGTGGATCACCTCGCTTCGCGGAACGAAGATGATATGTCGGGAAACGAGTGGAAACCACTTGATGGCATCGGATATGGTTGCGGGGCATGACATAGCATTAAGGAGGTATGCTCAATCCTTTGGCGATCTCTTTTGGCATACTGAATACCGCTTCAGTGATGTGTCTATCTTCGTCAACACTCCGACACCTCACCAGCGCAGCCTGAGGGGACATATTCCATGGCTGGAGAAACCGATGCTAGAGGCAAATCGACGACTGTAAGAAGTCTATCAACTCCACCTACGTTTAATGAATTGTCTTTAATCTGTCCGCAGAGCAACAATATCAATTTCAAGTGCCACTCACCGCCGGACTCGGATTTATACCCCGCGTATCACGACAATAGACTTGATCCTCGGAGTTTCTGAGTTCTCCTATCCCCTACTCCCCGTCAGTTATTTCACTGTTTATGGTCCTGGAACACGATGCTGGAAGACCGTACATAGTAGGCCGTCAAAGATGAGGTACTGTTGCCATGTAGAATGATGCAGCGAGCCAAGGACGGGAGTCCATGGAGGCCACGCTGGTTCTGGGCGAAGGGCACTGCCGCACTGGTCTGTTGGTGGATTCTTGGGTAAGCCGTTCTCGTTTGGATCTAAGTCAAGTTCTAGCTTGTCGCGATCGTTCTGCTTTCAGACCACGCAATATGAATCTATTATCGGCATACAGGTTGTCCCAGTTCACTGCTCGTCCCTTTGATTCATCTCATTCGTTCGGACGATTCCATGACTTTTGGTTGGCCTAGAAGAGCGTTCATTCAAGACGTCAGTTTGTATATGGCGCCACCCTGGACGCAACGGGCGCTCGCGGCGGATGAAGTGGGCCCATGAAAAACGGTTTTCTCTGCTCTATCGATGCTCTGGCACGTCCTGAACACCATATCGACTCATGATTGGCGTTGAAAATGAGGGGCCCCGGGAGTTTTGCCCACGTCGCACAAACTCCGATCATTTTTGTTCTTCACGATCTCACCATCTGTCTGACGTGGGATTTTTAGATCCCAATTAGGATAGCCGCCCCGCACTGTTGCCTATCATCCGTGGATTATTTTAACAGGCCTTGCATTGTCACACCATTACCACCATCATGACGACGTTTACCGCCGTGACCCAGGTGCTCGTTGCACTCATCCCCGCCTACGCCGTCTATTGGGTGTTCAACACTTACACTGAATATGGCAAAACTCATTCACTAGTCAAGTATGTGTTATTCGTGTTACAAAAGGTCTTCCAACGCTGATACGTAACCTGCAGAGATATTCAGAGCTTCCTCACGTTCCTGCCCAACTCTTCAGACTTCTCTGGCGTATTCACGAAGGATGACCGGTTTATTCTCGGAAGCTTTCAGTTTTGGATGAAGAAGCATGATTGTGAGTATTAGTTTGGGCCGGTGACCGCGATGTTGATGAACGCCATTCGCAGTATATTCGAAATCAGGATGGGATGTCAGCGCCGCTGTGAGTGACATTTTGATTCCATCACGATCGTGAGCACCGATGAATTCCACAGGTATCGTTATGGCCACGCGTTCAAACAACATTGATGGTAGCAGACCCAAGAATATTGAAGGTTACTTCCACTCGACTGCCACCTCTGTGCATGGCTCACGTTTTCTTAGGACATTGGCTCACAACGAACAATCTTCACGAAACCCACTAGTCAATACAAAGTTTTGAACTTCTATGGGGAGAACATTGTCTCGACAGAAGGCGATCAGTGGAGGCTCTATAGGAAGATCGCTTCTCCGGCATTTTCAGAGGTATATGACCTTTGCTTGTTCTCCTCGCAACAGCTAACGCACGTCTTAGAGGAACAACCGACTTGTCTGGGAGGAAAGCATCCACACTGTTATGTCGTATTTGGAGGAGGATTGGAAGTGGGAGAATACCGTGTCGCTCGATAACTTTCTGTCACCCTGTCTTCAAGTATGTACTCTTGGACGTTTTCTGCTTTCAAGACTAACTCAACCTTTCACTAAGTTTGGCCTTCGTGTGATTTCGGCTGCTGGTACGATTCATCTTACCGTGTTGACGTTTCTGGCTAATGTCAATTGTAGGGTTTGGCAAGCGCATTGGGTGGAGCAAAGAAGACCTGATTCCTGTTGGCCACAAACTGTCATTTGAGGAGACATTCAGGATCGTGTCGTCGGATATCTTCATCAAGGTGATTGTACCGAATTGGCTCCCTAATATCACCGAAAAGATCGGGAGAGTACGACTAGCATTTGATGAATTAAAGGCAGGCTCTGCTGTCCCCTTTGTTGTATTGGCGTTGAAGACTGATTGGTGATCAGAACTACATGCAAGACATTATCGATGCAGCTCGCGCGTCAGGGGCAGCTCGTCAGAAAGATGATCTTTTCAGCAATCTACTACAGGCGAACGAGCTAGCGAAGGATGAGGAGGGAAGAAAGTTGGATGATTCGGAATTGATCGGTGCGTGGTTTGTCATTAACCTCACTTGTCATTGCTAGAATGCAAATATACAGGAAACACATTCATGTTCCTTCTTGCTGGACACGAGGTCAGTTGCG